AAATCCAGACAGCATTTGGAAACTGCAAATCAGGTTCAAACGCAGTTTTGTCCGGTTCCAACCCAGTTTCAACCCTTGAATCCAGCCTAGATACACCAAGGTTCCAATCTAGGTTTGCCCCAGGTTGGAACAAAAACCTGGTTTTCGGAACCCACCACCGTTTGAACCCAGAGTTCAAACACTGGTGTTCGAACTGTCCAAATACAGGTCAAAACGCTTGACAAACGGTTTTTTTGCAGTGTTCTGGAACCCTTCGAACACTTCAGAGGGTCACTTGCCCGTTATCCTTCCACTCGTGCCCAAAGGGTGAAAGTTTCTTCCGGACCTGCGTTAGCAAGGGAGCTTGAAGGGAGCTTGAAGAGGGAATGAAGGAGAGGTTTCGAAGCCTTCAAAGTACAGGCTACATTGTATTTTCTTCGCAACACGCCCCAAAAGTGATTTCGTGAAGTCTGCTTTTCTCATTTTATTTTCTTTGCAACACCTCCATTAAACAATTTCGTGTGGCTTCTTCTTCTTGTTTTTATGTGCTGAGGCTCCGTAGTTTGTGCTGAACGGCTAACACCGGCAAAGCCCGTGCGCCGCAGCCCTTTGTAGAGCTTCGCTTTGCTGTTTCACCGCTTTGGTGTATTTTTGCTTAGTTTGTTGTTTCGCTTGTTTGTAGGGACCGAGTGCTACAGCCGTAGTCGACGAGGCCCAGTCAAGCCAAAAAAAAAAAACTTCGAACACTTCAGGGGGCTTTGGGGGGGCGGAGAACATAACACTAGGTCCAAGTTTAAAGATTGTGTTCAAACTCCGGATTCGAACACTGGTAACTCCAGGTTCAAACACCAGTGTTAAGCACTGGTCTGTAAAACGCTTATACAAACACAAAAACAAGAGAAGCCACAAGGGCTTTGCGAAGAAAAGAAAAAGAGAAGAAACGAACACCAGAGTTTGAATCTTAAGTTTCAACTCAATTTTTTTTTCCGCCGGAGTCTGACCCAGATTTGAACCTGGTTGAACCTGGTACAACCCAGTTTTTTCTGGCCTTTGAACCTGGCGGTGTGAAACCCAGGTTCTTGGCCAGATGGTTTAAATCCAGGTTTTTTCCATGTTTAATTCGGTTTGGAGTCGGTTTTAAGAATTTTTTCGCTTTGAACGGAACGGTGGGTTTGAAGTTGATTCAGGGTTGTGGCGGCTTCCGACGCGCGGGATTTTTCAATTTGGAAGAAAGGGGGCCCCCATGATTTTGTGCGGCGTTGGTGTGTCTAAATTTTCATGTGTTTGTTTTTTTCAACTCTTCGCTTAAGCGATTTCGTGGACGTCTTCTTTTGTGTCGAAGGTTCCCTTCAGGTCTCTTGCTCAGCCTTTTTGAGCTTTTCTTAAATCTGCTCTTTCAGAAACAAAACCTCGATTCGAAGCTGCTTCAAACCCTGGAACATCAGTGTTACTGTAAGGGTCCCAGCTCCCGAACCCCTTAAATGCGTAAGAGACATGTTCCTCATTTTGGCCCCTGCCAGACATTGGAAGATCGCATGCGGCGCCTGCGCTTGCAAAAGAAGGAAGCTAAAGCGGAAGCCTGCGCAGCTGCGAAAGCACTGAAGAAAGAAGGCCGCCGCCAGCAAAACCTGAAGAAACGCGCCCGAGAACTCTCAGTCGCAGACTTGTTAGATGTGCTGGCAGTCAAACGTGCTGCTGATGCTGCTAACAGAGCGTAGAAATCATAGCTGAACATGCTGTGTTGTTGTAACATGCTGTAGTAGTAGTGGCCTCTCACAGCATTGTTTTATGATGCTCTGCTATGATTCTGTAGTTGCCGTACGCTGCTTGCCAGAGAGCAAGCACCGCTTGCCTCTTTCATCTTGGGATGAGAAGTCAGACTTTTTTATTCCGTGGTAGAATCGGCGTCAGATCTTTTAGCTCTTCTTGCACCTTGCCTGAAAGCATTGTTTTGTGATGCTGAGTCAAACGTGCTGCTGATGCGCACAGAGCGTAGAAATCATAGCTCAACATGCTGTGTTGTTGTAACATGCTGTAGTGGCCTTTCAAAGCATTGTTTTATGATGCCGTGCTATGATTTTGTAGCTGCCGTACGCTGCTTGCCAGAGAGCAAGCACCGTGCCTCAAAGCATTGTTTTGTGATGCTCTGCTATGATTTTGCGGTTGCAGTACGCTGCTTGCCAAGCAAGTGCGTGCTGGTCGGCTTTGTTGCAAAGGTGTCGGAAAACCCTAACATGTCACGCAGTTTGTACACGCAACAGCCACTATCCGGCAGCTGTGACTCGCAGACTCTCTGCATTCTACATATTGCCACAGTTTTCCTTTCAGAACCTCTCAGCCGGGTATCCGCTACCTGCAGAGAGTGCCTTGCCTTGCGGGGTCCTCAGCTGCCGAAGTTGCAACAGCAGACGTCCTCTTAGAAGTTTTTGACCATGTGAAATAGCAGACGTGGGATTTGAAGATTTTTTTTGAATTTACATCTGAGACGTTGCACCTAGTTTCCAAACAAGGTTCTTTCAAGCTGCGCACTTCGCAGGCGGAGGAGTGCTTTCAGCAATTCAATTCATCTAGAAACAAGCTGGGTGTGGGCTTTTCTCATCGGCTTCGGTTGGGTACTGTCATCGCTCATTGGCAGTTAGGATAACGTTTATTGGCACTTTATCAAACGTTCGATGTTACACGTATTGACGTATTGCTTAAACTGTCAATGGGCGTGCAGTGCACAAGGTTCAGGACTTTTCGAGCTTGCTCCAGCAGTGGCTTCGTCGTTCGCGGTGCATCACATGAGCCACTTTCTCCAAAGAGACGACAGTTGGATAGCGCTCATTCTCGAAGCATGTGGAGCCTTTCGCAATATTCTTGTAAATTGGCAATGCGCAAGATCTGCAGGACGCTTGCAGTATGGATCGTCTGCAGCCTGAGGACGTGGTTCTTACTTTGCAATTGCTCTCTCAGTGTGAAGCATGCAACGCGAAGAGCTTCTAACCACGGTTTGTTTCCAAGTGCAAGCACGAGACCGAACGAGGGATGGCGGCCTTGCAGACCATGTTTGAGCTTTGAAGAGAGGGCGGGTGTAGCTTAGATACTGCTCCCACTTATCGACAATTGAATAACAGCTGTCGTCGAAGCATATACTTTGCACTTGCTCTTTCAGCGTGAAGCATGCAACGCGAATATCTTCTAACAAATTTTGTCACGGTTTTGCTTCCAAGTGCAAGCACGAAACCCCATGAACGAGGGATGGCGGCCATCTGAACCTGAACGTACGTTGCAACTCATGCTCATGATGCTCGTTTTCTCAGAATCATGATGCTCTTCCTGTTTCACCCATCCTGGTCACACACAAAATGTGCAGGGTAATTTGAAGTTTCACCCAATGAAGTTTCACCCAATGTGACTGCATCACACCAGAGAGTGTGACTTCCAGTTTCACCCAAGGTGGCCACATCAACTGTGGAAGATCTTTGCGGTGAGAACAGCGGGCACCGGTGGATGTGGATCCGGTTTCCTCTTGATAGTACGAGCGCGGAACGCAGGACTGCGAGTGCGAAGTACTAGAGGCAGGCTACACACCATTTGGACGATAGTCCATGCTACAGTGTTATTCCAATCTGCCTGGCCCGCCCCGGGCGTCACACACCTCCCGTTAATTAACATTGTATAACCCAAACGGGGTGTGGTGTAAAACGCAGGGAAACAGGGACCCGCAGGGACCCGCATGCGTTTTTCCTAGGAAACGAGGGACCCGCAGGGACCCGCAGGGACCCGCGATTGCGGTATTCCCTAGGAAAAACGGGACCCGCAGGGACCCGCGATTGCGGTATTCTTTGGGAGCCGCAGGTCCACCCTGTTTGCTGCAGGCCCTTCCGCGATGTGTGCCGTCTGTCGGCCCATTCAGCGAGCAGCTTTATTTCGCCTTGCAAATGCCCGCAATTTCCTGACTTTTTGTTTGAGGAACCCACTGCGAGTCCCTAAGGGCCCAACGCTGCCCTTGGAGACTGATGTGTGCCGTGTGTCGGCCCATTCAGCGAGCAGCTTCATTTCGCCTTTCAAATGCCCGCAATTTCCTGACCTTTTTGTTTGAGGATCCACTGCGAGTCCCTAAGGGCCCAACGCTGCCCTTGGAGACTGTTACCGTTCTGCTCATTGCGTTTCAGGAGTTGCTTATCGGATTATCGGCTTTCAGGGAAAACGGGACCCGCAGAGACCCGGCATGGTGTCACACCTGCAATAACCCGAACGCGGTGCGGTGTAAAATCAATGCATTTTTCTTGCAGGGAAAGAAGGACTCGCGGGGGTGTAAAACGCACGGGAACAGGGACCCGCGATGCGTTTTCCTTGGGGAAGCAGGAACTTCCAGAGCGCCGCGATGCTGGTATGGTATTCTATGGGAAAACGGGGCACGCAGGTGGACTTGGAGAAGAGGTTGCTTGGCATACAGTGCGAGCGTTGGGTAAGAAAACGAGTCAGTCAGCTCAGAGGTCACTCATTTTTGTAGCAATGCTCAGATTGCAAGATGTGCCAGCGCTAATGCCATCCGTATTCTACAATCGGTCAGCGGCTGCAGGTGTGGCTCAGTACCATTGTAGAGTACGATGGCAGCGCATGGATATGAGTCACTACATGCTACCTAGATGTAGTCCAAAGCCCGCAGGGACGCGCGAGGGGTTGAGTGTTGCAGCTGAAACCCGATTGCAAAGAGACTACTGGCATGCTCTCGTTTTGGGCGCTGTCCTGCTAGAGAGAAGTTGGGGGTCAAAGGACGGGGCCCTCTCAGTGAGGTTCAGTGCTAACGCGCTGTGTGCAAAAGAAACGGCTCTGTGACGCAATTCTGTCCGACATGCTGTTGCAGAGACAAGGTTTTCACGGCGCTGGACAGCTTGTGCACAGTCTGCAAGCTCGCTGCTAGCAGTTGTTTGTGTTGGAGTGGAGAGTGTCTGTGCGTATGCTATGTGGTGCATCCTGGAGCAAGAGCTATTTATTGCTTCTGATTGCTTTCCGCCGGACATAGTCAAACTGTGATGCTGTCCCACAATCAGGTGCAGCGCTTGTCAAAGGAAATTGCGAGCACGAAGCAATCATTGAAGCGATTGCGTCGTGCAGTTTCCAACCTGTTTTTGACAGCTCGGCAGATTACAATTGTCTTGGCCGTTTACATGCTGTCGGAGTATGACATCGGGGTAGCTCGGGCTTATGTTCGTTTCGTCCACTGTCAAAAGCGGACCAATGCTGATGCACACACTGAATACACTGATGCCACACTGGATGCCCGCATTGAAAACTGGTATCTCGAAGCCGCTCTAGACAAACTGGTGAAGCTTCAAGACCCTGGTCCAGTACGTCGGGAAGCTGTTCGGTTTTTGGCACAAAATCAGACAGTTTTTTGGGTTTCCAGGCAAAACGAGCGTGGCGTGGCGCCTAAATCCGCTGCTACAGCATCGGTGTTTGTGCAAATTTGCCATAAATATGGAGTGCTGGAGCAGGCTTTGGTTAGATCAATCCACAACAACACGATCTCACACCGACATGGTCGCCACATGCTACTGGTACCCAAAAAAGTGCCCAAAATGGGAACGTTAGTGGGAACGTAGATACGGGATGGTCGAAAACCCATCCTCCCAAGGTTCCCCTTTTGAGACCCCAAGGTTGTGAAGGTTTTGGAGTGGGTTTCGTGGCTTCGAAGCAGAGTTCCGGCAGGCAAACAGGCCGTCTTTATTAATGTGGACGAAACTAGCATATCTCTGGCGCGGCCAGACCTCAAGGGCAATATCGTGCCCGGAAAGTGCTCCTTGCAGCAGAAGGGAAAGCGTACAAGGGGTGCCTTGACCCACGTGGCCAGCATTTGCAACCGATCCGACATCCAGCCGTGTCTTCCGCAAGTGATTTTGAGCAACACACGTGTTGTGAGTCAGAAGCTGGCCAAATCGTTGTTGCCCCTGCAGCCGGAAACAGTGCGATTGGTACGGGGCAAGACTGGCTGGAGTACAGCTGCTTCCTTCGTAGAGTATTTGAAAATGCTTCGAGACGCACTATCACTGTGGCCAGAGATTCAACCCATCCTCGTGATGGATTGTGCTCCAGCCCATCTTGCTGACAGCGTGATAGAAGCTGCCAATAATCAAGGTTTTTTTACAGCTGTTTGCCCCGCCGGCCTGACGCCTCTGCTCCAACCGCTAGATGTATATTGTTTCCAGGGGTACAAGCACTATTTGGCAGAGAAAACCAGAGATGCAGTAGACTTGTCCATGTCTTCACGGATGCAAATTTTGTTTGGAGCCTGCACGACTTACTTGAGTCGTCGGAGTTGGAAGTCTGCTTTTGGCCGGCTTCAACTAACAGATGAGCAAACGCCTGTAACTCGGGGCCTGCAGGATGTATTTCCTGCCGGTTTGCCAACGTTGGACCCGCAGATGCCCACCCATGAAGATCTTGAGGACCTTTTCCCGTCTCGCCGTACACTGAATCACAGTGAGTGGATTCGTGTTCCACTTCGCGCGGGAAGACTGCGACTTCGTGTGTAGGCCCTTGTTGGTTCTGTGCGTTTTTCATTGCCAGTTTGCCTACTTCCGAATCGTACTGTATGAAAGCCCCGCAGATGGAACCAATCTCTTAAAATATCTTGTTTCGAAAGCACTGTACCTTGAGTTCGACCAGCTGTCCTTACACTGGACTTTACAAACACAAAGAAGAGAAGTTACACGAATCGCTGTGCAGAACCGGTTTGAAACCTGTTGCAGAACCTGGATTTGAATCTGGGTTTCAACTGGATTTGACTTGGGTTTGAATCTAGGTTCAAGTCCGAGTTTCACGCAGGTTCAAACAAGCATGGTTTTGCCGTGTTGTTCTGGAACCTTGGGTTCGAACATTTGGAAGGGCCCGGGGGGGCGGAGAACATGACACTGGAACTTCGGGTTAAAACCCAAGTTCGAACACCTGGAACCGGAGTTGAACTTCGAGTTCGAACACAGTGTTCAAACTCCGGGTCGAACACTGGTGTTTAAACCCCAGGTTCGAACACCAGTGTTCGAACCTCGGGTTCCAACACTGGTGTTCGATTTCCGGGCTCGAGCACTGGTCTATAAAACGCTTTTATTAAACACTGGTGTTCGAACACTAAGTTCGAACACTGGTGTTCGAACCTAAAAATTCAAATACTGGTTCGAACCCCAGTGTTCGAGTTCAAACACCAGGGAAAAACACCTGTGTTCAAATTTCGGGTTCTAACACCGGTCTCCAAGTTCGAACTGGAGTTGAACTGGAAGTCCAATGTTCAACTCGAAGTTGAACTTACTGTTCGAACTTGCAGTTCGGAGACAAACAATGGTGTTCGAACTCGAGGCCTTGAACCTTGAACTCGAAGTTCTCAACCATGTGTTCTCGAACTTGGGGTTCGAACCAAAAACCTATGAGGGTTCAAACAGGTTAGGTTTGAAACCAGGTTGAAACCCAGGTTCCAACCACGTTCCCCTTCCCCCTGGAGGGAACCAAGCGGGAAGGGTTGGCAAATGGCAGAACCCAGGTGCCGCCCGCCCAGACGGTTTGATTCAGTTCACGTGCGCCATGCTTGGACACACGGAGCTGATAATCTTATTCTGCTTGGATGTGCAAGCAAAATAGGACTTGGTGCGTGGAGTACAAAGCGTCACTGTCAGTCTGGATTCCCAACTATTTCTCTTCAAGAGCGGATTTGGAAACCTGGATTGAACCTGGGTTCCGGAACCGGTTCGTGAGTTTGTCTCAGTTTTCGACTTTCCCTCCCTTTTGATTTCAGAGCGCACCATGTGTGTGGGTGTGTGCGTGCAACGACCGCATTTGTGTGGGGGGTGAAGGGTTTTTCGGTTCGTCGCTTGCGGCAGGCATCTGCTGGCCGTAGCCATGACAGTTGGAGCCAAACAGGCTGCGGACGTCATCCCTGTGATCCAGACACCCGCACTCCTCGTGGATGTGCATTCAATTGGTCTCATGCATTCTTGCCTTGACCAGGACAGCAAGGTTTATCGGGATCTCCTAGGACTTTTTGAACGAAGGTGGAGTTGGATCTGGGCTCTCTGACATCTTCATCACACCGCTGCTCATGTATCTGCCACAAGTTGTCTGTGTGGAGGAAATAAAACGGATGTCTGCCCACTCGAGCTGCACCTCCCATCCGGTGCTCCGTTGCATTTGCCATGGACTTTGGACTTTGGTGTGCACGACTCGCAAGAAACAAGACACGAGGACATTTGTTTATCATGCTGTGACAAACCGAAAAATGGAGCATTTTACTGTTGCACCTGTGGTTCAGACACTGCAGCACATGCAGCAAGACACCTGAAGGTTTTGCTTTGAGGTTTCAAGCCCAGTTTAGATATGGAGTTGCTCGTTTGGCATCATGGCCCAAAAAAACAAGGCCAAGACGACGGAGGCGAAAGAGGATCAAGTTGACGGGTGTCTTGGTGATTGGAGAGGATTCCAGACCGGTGGAAATGAAAGTCAGCATTGAGAGAATGCTGAATCTTGTGAAGTACAAAGCCAACTCTGTGAGAAACAAGAGTAAGCAGCGCCAGAGCGAAGCCCAGCAAGTGCAGAGGGCCGGGTTGTAATTCTCTGTTTGCTCTGCATTTTTTTCGGGGGTGTTCATGTGTTAGACCGACCGGCAGATCGTTGACTCGGACCGAAAGGGCTTCATCGCTGCCCACCAGAAGAATGGCCTTAAGGACTTGAAGTGGGTGGGTCAGTGCACGAAGAAGGTTGTGCGCTGCTTCGTGTTGAAAACTGCAAGCATGCGGTTCGTTGCGTTCCTACGCATTGGGGTTTTGGAAGCCTGTGGCAATGCCATCCAAGCGTCCTGCCACGGCACACGTCAGCTTGAAAGATACGAAAAGAGGCAGCTGCTGCTGTCGACGAGACAGAGCTGCGCACACGAGGGCAAGGTTGGAGCACGGTTTCCGTTTTAAGCCTCATGGGTTTCTCCTTGCACCGCCTTTTTTTCTGTCCAGTTGTGGGCAACAAAAACACAGAATTGCGCGAATAGCAGCAGGAGCTTTTTTCTCCATTCGATCTCACAGTGCTGGAACTTGCTAGCACATGCTTGGACCCATCGCGCGCCTCCGCGCTCCGGGTCACCAATCCACTCGCGCTCCGGTGCAGTGTGATGGCTGCCTCTGTCTTCTACCATGGTGTTTGCGTCTGAGGTCGTCGCTTCAAGTCTTGCAGTCTTGCTTTGAAGCTTGTCCTTGAAGCTTCCCTTTAGAGCTTGAAGAGAGAGCTTGGAGTAAGATCCACTTCGACGCGAGGATGGAAAGATGCAAAAAGCGTGCAAACTCAACCAATTCAGGACAATGCAAAGGGCCTGATGGCATATGCAAAGTCGTCCACAGAACAGACCTGACCCATGCATTCATGTAGCAAATATTGGATGGGTTGCACAATATCAAGGTGGAAATTGCAGTAGTTGGAAGTCTGGGTGGCTCACTGGGAAAGTGTTCCAGCGCCTTGACCAACGGTTGGCGCTTAGTATCTCGCGCTTGTACTGAGTGCCGATCAACTGAAACACCGAGTTCTGGCATAATTCCGCAAGAAGCCCATACATCTGCGTTCCCTGCTGTTGTCTCACCGACAAGTCCATCAATAGCACTACCCGAAGTTTGGCCAGTACCGTGGACGTTGCCAGAGCCGCACGCTTGGTATCCGCCTGAAGAGAGCGAAGAACTGAATCCCATTTCTGAAACACCCACTTCTGGTCCTTGTCTAGCCATCCTGACCGGATGCATTGCTGAACCAGTGCCTCGTCATTGGGGATCTCCTTCTCCGCTTCGGCCTTCCAGCGATGCCCAACTTGAAAGAGGGTGGGAACTATCGAAGGCGCCGACGTCCTCGCAAAGAAGACGAATCCGGTATCCTGTCGAAGAACTTGCAGTGTGTCCTCGCGCTGGACAAGAGCACGACACACCATTTTCAGGATTTGCTCCGGATCCGATCCCTCGGTCTGGTTCCGGTGGTCCTTTGAATCGCCTGGGCCGTCTCCGCCTTTGCCCGCGAGAAGGCGCCGCTGTCCCTTCAATCGATTCATGCCGTTGGCTCCCTGCGTGTCCGGATCCTTGCACTTGGTAAACGCTAGGCCGCTAGGCCATCCAGATGCATTGGAGCCGCTTGACATCTCGGTTGTCACATTCCCGAAAAACTCCTCCATCTGAGCTTCGGTGTCCTGCGTCATCCGCGTTCGCAATACCCTGATATGTCAGGATAGCAAGTTGAAAAAGCACCGAGCAACTCATAGCATGCGCTGGAGTCTGACTCATGCGCCCAACAGTACAGTAGTTAGTACCACAATAAGAACATGTCAGGAGACGATCAGCATGTTCGAACATGTACTGTTTGCAACGCTCCAAATACAGCTTGACCACCTGGGAATGACGATTGTTGTAGTGGCTCCGGATACATCTGACCTGAGCAATGTACTGGTGACAGATAGCACAGCGGTTACGCAATTCGCGAAGAACTCCAATGTTCGCCGGTGTCAGCGCTGGGCGAGGTCCCTGCTGCCGAATGGTATGAATGAATGAAATCAGGACGTTCACTGACAGCTTCGACTGACCGATGAGCAAGTATCTTCGGCATATCAGCAGCACCGTTTATCGGAAACATGACAGCACAAGAGCGACGATTGACATGTTCTGCAAGCGCCGTAAACGTGCAAAATTTAAATCCACACGCAACACATGTGGATAGTCCATCACGAGAGTGAAGAGCTGGGTCAAAGAGAATCTTTTGTGATGAATCAGCACCGGTGAGGAGTCACAAGTTGCTTAGCCGGCCTCACAGAATGAGTGGCAGGGTCTGCGTACAAAGTGATAGCAGTAATAGGAGTGTGCATGCAACAGCACCTGACCATCTGTGTGAGCACTCACATCAGGAGCAGCACTGGGAACATTATCAGACGCATTAGGAAGCACTCGAGGCCCCTTGGCATGTTTTTGTCGCATGTGCGCCTTAACAGCTATGCGAGAATCGAAGTAGACCCCGCAAACCGGACATGCATGTGGGATGATTTGTTGCGTCACAGTATGCAACCTCTAATGAGCTGCCTGGAGCGATTCATAACAGAGACGAGTCCATGTGATATATGACGAATCCGTGGTTGCAACATGAGTCTCATTCTTGACAAGGATGCGCGGAGTCTCATAGAGAGGCAATGAGTGTGAAGAAGCTCCTGGTCAGAGACCCCAGTATTGAAAGACCACGTGCGAGGAATGGTACGTATGTTTCATGGCCAATGACGAAATCGTGTGAAGAAGCTGTAGACTGAGGGGGCGCCACAGTAAGACCATAAAGAAGGCAAAGTCGAATGATAATCGTCCATAACTGCAACCTTTTTAAAGCCATGAGCCAACTTAACAGAAAGCATTTTTCAAAAGGCACATTGCGAACAAAAGTTCAAATCCTCAGATGCTCATTGTGTTCATGTTCAATTTGTTGCTATGGCAACAGTCAAATGGAACTCAGTGCGCCATGCGACCAACAGACACTGCTGCTGCTCGCACTCAGATTGTACTGTTTTGGCACCATAGGTGACAATGAGATCGCATGATACGTTCGAAGCAAACAGCTCCGATTGACTGTACAAGTCTTTGCGCCATGCAGCAGACAGACACCTGCACAGCCTACAACAAGCTTGCTGAGCACATCAAGAGATGCACCCAGGGTGCTCTCAAGTGAGCTGCAACACACCATCCCCACAAGGAAGAACAATTATTTGCAGAATGCAGACTTAGAAGCGGGAACAAGATCTGCTTTGCACAGAGCGGGTTGGATGGAATCAAAAGTTTTTGCTTGGACACTCAAGACAGACAGCGAGCAACTTGGTCATTCGGCTCCTCAAGAGGTGCACTCCAAACGCAATGCAAGACTGAATAAAACTGACTTAACCATATTATCTTTAAAATCGACAACTTCTCAAATACACAAGAAGCACGAAATCGCTTTGGAGGTTGAAAGCGAACGAAAGAAATTAAATTAAACTGTCTCATATGTTTCGAGGCCGAGAAAAAGACGGTTTAAATTGCAGATGTCGGGGTCGGAATCAACATGGACCAAGCGCGTGGTCTGAAAAAAAACACTTCGGAGTCGAACAGAAGAGCAGCCCGATTTTTGAAGCAGACGAAAATATGTACGTTGTCCAAAAGTTCTGGTACAAAACAGCAAGAATCTTTCCTTTTCTGATTCGTGCCGCCATGGTTCCAGCTCCTCGAACCACGTGGCCAGTAGGCTCGCAGCGTTTTTCCTATTTGTTCCGCGCTCTATTTCCAGACCGATGCAGGATGGCGCTGCTACATTTATTCCACTTGTTCTGCCGCATTTGCTTGCGTGTTTTGCCAATCGTGGCTTCCAATCATCAATGGAAAGGTGCATGTCTACATTACGACGAAAAACATTTTTGGATTGCCATACTACGATCTGTCAAAGCTTGCACAACATGTTCCCACTGTATTACATCGACTCCAACTTCAAGCACTTCGTTTGAATTATTCCAAAATGCTGTCGAAAGGAGTCAAAGCGAACCGGAGACCATGCTACTCTAACGTCAACTTCAGGTGATTCGTCTTTTATGGGCGAGTGGCACGAATTCTCCTTGTGCGTAGGGTGAGCTTTATCAGTGACTGTAAAAGCGTCCTTTTCCACTTCGCTTTTTCCCACGGTGGCACGAAGATTTGCCTCGTCCTGCCATCGTTTCACCTGACAAGGGTTGCGAAGAGCCTGTTCAGACATCTCCATGGCGAATGGGAGTTCCGTGCTAAACGAACAACCAAGAAAAGAAAGCAAGTACCTACTTGGTATAATACCTTCAACCCTGAACCATATTACGAAATAGGTTTTACAAAGAAATACAGAGTTTGATAGATTTTGAGAGGAACAGGTGTTTGAATGGATTTAGAGAGTAATGCAGAGTTCAATAGGTTTTTATAGAAATACAGGTCAACCGGTGTTACAGACAAGCACGGACTTGAGAGAGTGCTTCTGAAATCGAGTGTGTGCATGGAGAAATGGTTTTTTGTCGTGCGCTGCGATGCCAATGATGTGTGTCTTGAGCGGGTGCTTCGGAAATCAAGCGTGTAGTTTGGGAATGGCTGGTTTTGAAGTGCTGTGATTCTACTGCTGTTTGTGTTGAGCGGGTGCCTCTGAAATCGAGCGTCTACATGGTGATTGTAGTGATGTCCATGTATTTGTTGTTCTAATTGGCCCCCCCACGGCGTCTACTTGGTGATTCACACAAACTGCACGGCTTTAGTCGGGTTTCCGTGGTTTACTTTGACCCTTGCGTCCTATGGGGTTTGTCTATATTTGCACTGACTTCTCTGACTTACCGAATGCGCGGCGTCTGCTTAGAACGGTGTAACCCAAAGACATTGCACCGACTTTCGAAGGCCCCAGTAGTCCCATTGAAAGGATTGCTGACGAGCGGTCTCACCTGTGGACACGCTCTGCGCGACGGAGAGAGCGCGACCTTGTGCGATGTCAAGTGAGTTTGATGTATATAAAGTAGAGTCTCATGAAGCGTATGCACCGTATCTAGACTGGCAAGGGGTTGAAACTAGGACTTGCTGTCATCTGAGCTCGAGCATGCCGCTTTGAGACCTGTTTAGGACCTTCTCGGAAGAGGACTGTGCCATACCGTACAAAACTAACCCCATTTCAATGCAGCACTGCCGGCCAGACGTGTGCGATCGATACCCGACGGAACAAGCGGCCGCTGTCGCCGCAAGCTCACGATTTGCGAGGTGGACCGGTTTCTGTGGGTTGGGACCTGCTTTTCAGTGGGTGTTCATGCCGACAGTTTGCGACAGCACCACAGAAGCACAGCCCTTTGCACAGACAGTGATAATGCAGGATGAGGAAACACTGATGTGGCCACGCATACGGATCGGGATGCGCCCCCCAACTCCGAAGCGAACTCAAGCACTTCATTGGTGCAGATACCATGAAAAAATTGTGACAAACCGGCCTTCCGGATGATACAGCGGCGCGATACTGCACAAGCGGCCTTAGATGGGACTTGCCTTTGTCAGGCTTGAGGAAGGTGAAGGCAACTGATAGATGAAAAGGTGCGGTTCATTGCTTCGCATTATTACTCATAACTTATCACCACAAGAATCATGCAAGCTTTCCCTTGGCTTTGCTTCTTACCTCTTGTTGGTTTCACAGGGTTTCTGCAAGAATGCTGTGTTGTATCTTGATGTCTGAGGATTTATGTTTACGTTTCGGCTTTGAGAGAAAGATCGTTTAAGGTGCAGGTTTTCTAAAACTCTCATGTTTCTCGTTGTTTTCATCTCTTAAGAAGAGACGGCTTAGAAATTCCGTGTACAGAAAAGCAATAGAGCTTTGAGAACTATTGGTTTTGAAGATGAATGAGGCTCGAGTAGGTGGAGGTTTGTTGAGGGGTTTGGGGTTTCTTTAGGGTTTCGGGCTTGGTAGGTGTGTGATGTGACACATCATAATATGTTGGGCTTCCGAACAGCTATTTGTTTGGCTTGCCTTCTGCTAGGAGTTGGCCGGGTTGCATACTGGTTGCAACACTCCGACCATCAGCATCAGCTTGTGTTTACGGATGGTTGGCTCAAAGCTGACAGCACATTGGCAGAACCGTGCCATTTGCTCTTCATTCCTGGGCTGCGAGGCGAATTTGCTGGTTGAAAAGTCAAGTGGGCCGGGCGTGAATTCAGATGCCAGGCCGCCCGCCCATGGCTCCGGCCTTCTTGCAAAGATTCACGGGTGGAAACAATCAGACGCCCTTGCAGGCGGGCTCGCCTTTTCTCTCCGCGTGATGTGCTCGTGGGGGTGTTGCGAGGCAGATTTGAAGCGGGCCACAGAGTCAAATGCCCCCGGCCCAGAAACACGGCTGGCTTCCACATGAGATTTTTCAGAAAATTGCCCATGCCAGTATTTCACATCATGTAGTTGAGGGTTCATGTTGCTGTGCAAGCTCTGCGGAAGACATGCTCATAGAAGATCTGGCTGCTGCAACATCGCATAGGTTGGGAATGAATAGGTCAGCTGCTCAGGTCATCGAAGTACCCAAGGCTGCTTTCACTTTTCACGATTGCCAGTATCGGACGTTTGACGTTGCACTGCGGCAAGCTGAACTGATGTTTCAGGACGTGCTGACACTGGTTGTAGAGGCGACGAAGGTGGGTGAAGAGGCATGATCCACAATAGTTT